TCCAACTGTTGGAGTAAAATTGGCAATTCCTAACAAAAAGCCTGAGTCTGTAATGTTTTAGACTATTGCATGTTTTCGGTTTTATTTGTTTTAGTTTAAATTTGTCTCTCGTGCTCTCGATCACAATAATACCAAGGGTTTCAGAGACATTTACTCAGGTATGTTTGCATGCATGGCATCTCATGAAATTATGGTTTACGTTAAGTGTTTTTGGGCTGTAATTTTAAGCAGGATTACAAATGAGCTTAAACTTTAATCAATCCTTGTTTTTGCCGTGAATTGTGGATTGGGTTTGCATATTTGACTTTCAATTAAGGTCTTATTAATTAAAGCCTATCTTTCTTAGGTGGCAACATATTCTCTAGTATTTGTTTTATGCATACAGATAATGTTTGGTGGATTTTCACACTTATTAGCATAAAACAAATAATATCTCTTGGTTTTTATTTTATTTTATTTTTTTATCTAGTTTGTTAATAAAAAATTCAGTTTTCCTTGATCACACCTCCTTCACTCTGTTTTACCTACGCCTATATATACACATCAGTTTAGGGTTTTCGCTGCTGTTGTTGCCGCATCACAACATATATATGCATTGAAGCAGTCATTTATTTGCGAGAGCATATGTTAAGGTTCTAGAAGTGATCATTATATCATATCATAATTTTTGTTTTGGTTGCTATAGCATGCATTAGATTAGGGTTTGGTTTGTTTGCCATATAACACAGAATATATTAACAAAGCATTAGCACCGAGTGCATTAGAACATGGTTTTATGTTTTGGCTGCTGCTGCTATGCATAACACACACTGCATTAAATCATATTTGCACAGAGAGAAACTTACAGTTGATATGTTTGAGGATTGCGGCATTTGATGTGACGATCCGTCCCTAATTTTCTATGTAATTTCTCCCCAAGTATGTGAATTGACATTTATGCTCTTATTGGCAAGTGACGTGGACGTGTTTATTCGCGCTTAAATACTTTTTCTCGCTATTGTAATTAAATAGTACTCATTATTATGAACGCATGAGCACGAGTTAGGCTCGAATCAGAGTTGTGACGAAAAAGTTACGATAAGTTAAAGTGAGTTAAATCGGGTGACGATTCAAAACCGTTATTTGTTGCCCCGTATCGATGATCTCTTTGATCAACTTTGTGGTGCTGGTGTCTTTTCAAAAATTGATCTAAGGTCGGGTTACTACTAGTTGAAGATCAGAAAAGAAAACGT